TAAGAAACCTTCCCCTAAGGGTCCATGTACCCAAATAGTAGAACCTAATATAGGGTTCCTTGAAGGGTTCCTTTAAAGGGTTTAGGGTTTAGGGTTTTGGGGTTTGGGGTTTAGGGGTTTGGGGTTTAAGGGTCCATGTACCAAGAATGAGGTATAAACTTAGGCCTCAAAAGGGCTCCTATATAGGTACTTGGCGGCCCAAGTATATACGATATAGGTACATGGGGCCTTAGGGCAATGCCCATCGACATCTTCAGCATCAACATTGCGATCTTTGTTTTGGTGATTTGTCGTGGCCGTCTTCGGCCATAACCCTAAGGGTCCATGTACCCAAATAGTATATACTTTGGCCTTAAAGTGGTCCCTATATAGGTTCTTTGGGGCCAATGTATATACTATATGAGTACATGGACCCTTAGGGTAACATACATGTACAATCTTCGTTATGACAACAAAAAGCATCCTGCATGTATGCTCGCACGTACATAGGCATATACTGTGGCTCCTTGAGTCTTACTTTAGCAACCATGCAGACGGTGCAAGTCCGAAATCTGCAGTCCAACAAACGATTTGCCTTGGCCCCCTGCTGCGGGGAAGCTGCTGGCGAAGGATCCTGTTCGGCAGCCTAAACCCTAAACCCTAAACCGGCAGATTGGCCCGGACTAGTTCTACGGGGGGCCCAGCGCAAAGGTAGGAAGTTCGAGATCCCGGCGCGGACAAAATGTGGTGAAGATCAGCAGAGATGTCCAGTCCCCAAACCTCATAAACCCTAAACCCTGAACAATATAAACCCTAAACCCTAAACCCTATAAACCGTAAACCCTAAACCCTAAACCATAAACCATACTTGATTGCGACCAGGTTGGCCTCTTTCTTGGTGCTGGACTGCGCCGCAGCTACTGGAGGGTCCTGGCGGTCCGAGAAACCACAGCCGACTGCACGAAAGCGACAGAGAGGCCTTCCTCATCGCTGGTATTAGGGTTTATATGATACATATATATATATATATATATGTATATGTGTATGTACATACACGTGCAGCCTTTCAACAAAAAGCGACCGCTTCTCCTGTTGAGCATCTTGGTTGCGTTTGCTAGTGGGCAGCTTGGGCTGGGTGCAATCCGGAGGATGCTGCGCATGGGTACACCTGCCCTAAACCCTAAACCCTAAACCGAAAATTCTAAATCCTAAACCCTAAACCCTAAATCCTAAATCCTAAACCCTAAACCCTAAATCCTAAACCCTAATCCCTAAACCCTAAACCCTAAACCGCATGGGTAAACCGGTGACCCAGCTTCCCCAAAGGCTGCCTCCAAAGGCCCTTACGACTCCTCCCCACAGGGTCCAAAAGTACCTGTATAGTAGAATGCAGGGTTTAGGGTTTAGGGTTTATGGTTTAGGGAGAATGTTGGGTTTACCCTAAACCCTAAACCCCAAACCCGGAATTAGTATTATGATTTAGGGAAGTATCCCGACTTTTTTTTGGAATCGTCCGGGTCTCAGAAGAAGCTCAGACTGCTTTACGCTTCTCATAGCCATCATAATCTTCATCTTCATCTTCGTCTTATAAGGGTTTAGGGTTTAGGGTTTGGGTTTAGGGTTTAGGGTTTAGGGTTTAGGGTTTAGGGTTTAGGGTTTAGGGTATGCATATTCGTATTCTCATCGTAATACTCGTACTCATAGACATATATATATGTTCTCATGCTCACATACTCATGTCATTCACATTATTATTCTTCATGCTGGTCGCATCCACATCATTGTAACGCCGCGAACTATAGCATTGAACCCATCGCTGAACGTGTGTGTTTTGGTATGTACAGAAAGGCACTCGGTGGCAGAACACATGTTGCAAGTCCCCATTGCCAAACCCAACGCGTCCTAAGAGTCCTAAGTACCTGTATGGGGATACTTACCCTAACCACAAATAATAGCAATTCCGATTATAGAAACCCTACTTTCTACTATATAATTACTTATGACCCTTTGGGTAAACCCTAAAACCCTTTATTAAAGGAACCCGCGAAAGTAACCTTTCTGGTAACCTTTCATGCAAATCCCCTTTCCTGACGGGCCACAGTTTAGGGGTAAGTACCGAAACAGGGACTGTAGACACAAACTGATAGTACCTATGGTCTCCATTGTAGTTCCTTTTGGGGGCTACCTTATAGGATCCTTAGTATATAATTGGTTAAACCAAAAAAAGGAACTCCAACGGAGACTATAGGTAGACCGTGTAAAGGAACCTTTAAAAGGAGCCCTTGTATTCTTTGGGTACTCCCTGAACCCTAGACCGTAAACCCTAAACCTAAACCGTGGCTGGGTACTGGACCCTGAGGGCATTTCTAAAGCCCAGCGCCTTGCTGACGGCGGGACGAAGCGTGTCTGAAGGTGACGGATCCTGGGGGGGTGGTGGGCGGGTTTAGGGTTTAGGGTTTAGGGTTTACGGTCGCCGAAAGTACTGCAGGGGCCTCAATAATTGGAATAGGGTTTTGGGCTCCGTTTTTTGTATGCCATAATAAAGGACCCTGAGCAACAATACTTGTAATTATGTACATAGGCTTCGATACTACGGGACTTCCGTTTGCCCGGCTTTGGATGCTTCGGCTTAGGGCTTTGGGGGTTTGGGGTGGGCTTGGGGGTTAAGGAGTTTCGGGCTTGGGGTTTATAATAGGGGCCTCGAGGTTGCAGGATTAGGAGTTTAGGGATTCGGGATTCGTGTTTAGGGTTTAGGTTTAGGGTTTAAGGATTCGGGTTTAGGGTTTTAGGGTTTAGGGTTTAGGGTTTAGGGTTTAGGGTTTAGGGTTTAGGGGTTTAGTATTTAAGGTTTGGGGATTCGGGTTCTCTCGGGGACCTACCTACCCCTACTGGAGATGACTCCTAGTTCCTGACCTCCCTGGCCCAGCAAGGTGTAACAAGCTGAACCTCTTCACCATGGTCGCGTTGACCCTAAACCCTAAACCCTTTATTATGCAAGAACAGAACCCTTGGCGTCAAAATAGCCCAAAAGCCTCGTATAACAGGGTCTTTGGGCCCAAAAGCCTTAAAAATATGAGTCCTTAGAGGGTATATAAGGGGAAAGGTTAAAATTCACCTAGTACCAAGGATGCGGCCTGGGATTTGGGCTTCAGCACGTTCAGCGGCCAAAGCCGTAGGCGGAGCTGGCTGTCGTTGAGTGGTGGTCACTTCAAGGATCGTGGGACTTAGAAACTGGGGCTATAAATATGGTAACTATACTTGGTCATTACTTATAACCCCAACTAGGGTACTTATGACCTTACTTACTAAGTCCCATGATCCTCCAAGCAGTCAGGGATTCGGAAACTGAAAACGTTTGGTTAGACTAGTTGTGTTTTTCATGTGCAGTGGCCCCGTTCTTCGAGGCTCTAGGGGTTAGGGTCTCATCTTCCTGAAATTCGGTGTGTCACGACACATGTCTGCTGCGAATACTTGGACGGCAAATCAAAACACCATCGGCTGTCCTCTTTCTTCGCACTAGCCTGCATCGTAGCTGCCGGCGGGGGGTCCTGTCGGCAAGATTACCCAAACTCTACTATACCCGACACGCTTAGGGCCCTGCTGTAGAGTCATTATCTATGAACGCTGAACATCAGTAAGCCTCTGCCGCCCAGTTATCGATGTGATGGCATGCTGGCTACTATGCTACAGTCAAACCCTTGAGGACCAAAGGAGCCTTAAAAGTAGGGGCCTTTTTCCATATACTATGAAACCCTATATGGTGTATGAACCTTACACCCTTTTAGGGTTCATTTCGCCCCTAAGGATGCGAGCTGAAAACAGTGCAAAGTCAGCAACCCGTAATCGAGGTGATCGTAGAAAGCCTCAACAAGCAGGCTCAAGGCAAATCGTGGGATTGAAACTACGGTTTAGGGTTTAGGGTTTAGGAATATACTTTAGGGTCCGTAAGATAATGCAGGATGAATATCATCAACAGTAGAAGTATGATGAGGGGACAACCCACAGACTACTGTCTGTTGCAAATGATTGAGGTCGCTGCATCATGCAGGCCTTTATAATCGGAACACGGGTTTTCAGCCTGCCTGCTAGGCTTGATTAAAAAAATCACTTTGACTTGACCGGCACGGCAAACATCCGCTGGTCTCAGCGTCCTTGCTGGATACGACCGGCTTCTCGTCACTTTCAGTGCTCTGCTTTGTCTAGAGCCACATCGACCGACTCTTTGGCGATCATCTCGTCCATCTCTTTGGCTAGCTTCTTCTGTATGGCAATGAGGATCGACGACCGGCGCGACAGCTCCTCCAACTCTTGTTCGTTCTGGTTCATATACTCCTTGGGGTTTTCTGTCTCATGCCTGTGCTAGGAAGCCTCGCGAATAGGATCATGTAATGTTATTGCGCTTCTATGTTCCCGGGCCGTCCAAAATCCCATAATTAAGGAATGTACCTGAACTTATACTGAGATCCCGATTAAAAAATAAGGTATAGTCCTTGCTCGTTGGATTTTGCAAAGTCTATATGTCAGTCTACCCTAAACCCTAAACCCTAAAACCTCAACCCATTGTGTTCAAAGGTGTCGACAAGCGCTCCTGTCGTCAGGCTTCCCATCCCTTTAGGACACTTTGCAACGGGTAGTCACGGTTTACGGTTTAGGGTTTAGGGTTCTGCAGAATATGAATACTGAAGAGTTAGCCAAAGAAATCCACGCAACACAACAACACATCCCAAATTGTTCCCCCCGACCCTAACTCCTAGCAGCGCTCCAGAAAAAAAAAAGAACTACACCCAAAGGCCAATTTTTGCAACAGCGGAACTCCTAGGGTGCCAAGCCGTAAGCCCTATAATCTTTTCATACCTTAGACACTCAACTTTCACTCAACTCTAAACCTCGAACTCTAACCCCGAGACCACAACCCCCACAGAACCAAACAACCCTAAACCCTAAACCCTAAACCTCCCTAGAAACCTTGTCAAGCCCTCTCAACCCTTTCGGGCCCAACCCTTGCAGTAACCCGTGCAAGTACCCTTAATAACCCGGGTAGGAACCCTAAACCCTAAATCAGCCCGGTTTAGGGTTTAGGGTTTAGAGTTTAGGGTTTAGGGTTTAGGGTATAAACCCTGATCCTACTTGTCGAGTATCCTGGAAAAACTCAAAGTTCATCTTTGGGCGTATATTAGGGTTGTATAGCGATTATAGCACCCCAAAAAAAGGAGGCTACCTACTCTAGAACCCTCCTGATTTACACCCTAAACCTTAAATCCTAAACCTTAAACCCTAGAACCCTCTTAATTTAAACCCTAAACCCTACACCTTAAACTCTAAACCCTAAACCCTAAACCCTAAACCTTAAACCCTAAACCTTAAACCCTAAACCCTAAACCCTAAACCCAGCCCAAGAAGGAAGTTCTCTTACGAAGGAAAGGAAACGGCTTACTTGGAGGGTCGGGGGACTTAGTAGGGTTTAGGGTTTAGGGCTTACTTGCAGGGTCGGAGGACTAGGTTATTCTACAGAGTTATAAGAACCATAACCCCAAATTAGGATCCCACTTAAGACACTCATGACCCTGCTTGTTTTGACCTAGTTACTAAGTCCGTCGATCCTCCTCGCAGATATTCGGAAGCCCAAACCAACAAAACTAAAAGGACCGCTGGCCTGTAGAGCCCCTCAGCTTTCGCCTTTTGTTCTCCCTTCAAAGTTCTGGATCCAGACGAGGGATACTTCCCCAAATCATAACCAGGATTCCTAATTCTCCCTCGTCTTTCATTTTTTGTAGAACCTTGAGAGTTCAGTAGGCGTAAAAAACCCCAAACCCTGAACCCTTTTTCACAAAAGCTGCACACCCTAGACCTTTACATCCTAAAGTCCTAAACCCTAACCCCAAATCCTAAACCCAAGCCTCTAAACCCTAAACCCCGAAGCCCAAAGACCTTGCCTTGCTGTCTGCGACAGCCCGTAGTCCAGCTGCAGGTAGTGGATCCTGGCTTTTTGTAGATCCCTGGGTTTAGGGTTTAGGGTTTAGGGTTTAGTGGGACTTAGTAACTAGGGTTATGAATAAGGTAAGTATACTTGTAATTACTTATAACATCAATTTCAATTAAGGTACTTATAACCCTACTCACTAAGTCCCATGATCCTCCAAGTAGATCCCTGCCGTTGAACTGAGCCCCAAAAAGGATACCGAAAAAGGAAGCAGATGGCACACAACTGTTGGAGAATTTCGGGCTAGGGCTTTGGGGGGATTTACAGGTGGCTGTCGGGTTTTACAGGTGCTTAGATGTTCGCGTAGAGTTGCAGAGGCCTTTCATGATAAGAGTGAGTGAGTGAGTGAGTGAGTGAGTGAGTGAGTGAGTGAGTGTCGACCTGGGGTGCTCTCCGGCCTACGGAAACGGTCCCTCTCGCCTTCTTTGCCCCTCCGCATGCGTCATCGGAGCTCCGGTGCAGAG